CCCCCCCCCCCCCCCCCCCCTCCCGTGGCACACTCAATTTTTTTGTTTGGGAACCGCAGCCGACGAGGCGAGCTTGTTCCCAAGGGACCCCGGTACGTGGCCATCACCCCCGCCGGCAGAGGCACCCTTGAAACTCCCTGGGTTGGTGTGTGGGGGGAGCACTATCGTGACGCACAGCACGCTGGCGCGGATGGAGGCTGCGCAGCCGAAGCACCACAGGGGCTACAACTGGTACCTCTTGTACAGCACCTTTAGGTGAAGAGGCATGCGGCTCGTTGGTGCTTCTAAGTTAGTTGCTGTGTTGGTCGGCTTCGGCTGTGTTGTTGTTGGAAGTGTGTGTTGCGAGCGTCTTTTCGACGATTGGACATAGAACAATACGTCTGTTGGTGCTGCTGCTGCTACTACTGCCGGTGTATTTCTTGCTGTGGGTGGTGCTATCAGTACCACCACCAGCATCGCCGCAGCAAGATGAGATGCGTGCTGTTGCTGTCGTCACCTCCCTCTGCATTGAACCGGTCCAGCTTTTGCACGCATGTCTCGTCTTGATCGAAATCAGTTTGACGCCTGTAACTCCTTTCAGGTCTAACTTGTGTAGATCCCTCTGTGTAGCACCCAGTTCATCGCCGTCCAAAAGCTGTATGATGGGGCTGTGGAACCCGTGCTGACTGAAGGTGTGCAAAGCATCGAGTGCACTTGTCGTGTTGACAAATCCAACAACAGTCTCCGGTTGAGCCTGTCCCGTTGCTTCCACTCTCCTTTCTTACCACATTGAAAGCCCAGACCACCATCATCAAAATGCCACACATAATGCCACTCACAACCCATATCAAAAAGTACCACACACAAGTGGGTATCCGGAATCCCGCCTCACCCGATGCGCAATGACCATGTTGTTCTGCTGCCGCTGCTACCACTGCGGTCTATTGGTCAACATTGCTGAAACACGAAAGGGACGGGGCAAGCTACACGACCTTGTACAACCGCATCCAGGGGGAGGAACCGACGTTTCTCATCGTGGAGAGCATGAGGGGGGAGGTCTTCGGAGGTTTCGCGACATCGGCGTGGTCCTCGGGTTGTCAGGTACCTACCCACCTAACAACTGCGGCGCTATGTACCCACTGCTTTTTGTACTAAGTGTGTGCCGTTTGTATCGCTCGTGTTACTTGTGCTGCATGCTTTTGCGGTTTTACTTGAGGTTCGCCTCCCAAAAAGACGTGTCGACCTATTGTAGCACATGTGCACGGCAGCGTGTGGTGTGTACATCGAAGGATTTATCTGGTGTCATGCCATGGTGCCCGTTTACGCGTGTCTGTCCGATAATGCTCCTCCCAGCGTACCTCCCTACCCCCCCCCCCC